ATGGAGGCTAGAGTCAAGCTTTTAGAAATTGTCTGCCATAAATTATAGAAGGCACAAATAGAAAGAATTGAGAGAATGAAATTATCAAAGAATCGAAAGAAAAAATATCTCTGTTAAAGAAAGTCTCAAGTCTACAAATTGAAAGGATCCAGTGAGTGTTGGGCAAGAATATCAACCAACCACATCCTCATGCAGTTTCTGACTTCCAAGGATAAAGAGAAAATCCCAAAAGCTTGGGGTGGGTGTCGTGGGAGACACATAACCTGGAAGGAACTGATAACCAAATTAGCCTGCTGTTCTCACCTGCTACACTAGTGCTAGAAGACCAGATTGTGAGGGAAAATTATTTTGAGCCCAGAATCATAGACCCCGTTAACCTATCATTTAATTATTTTGAATTCAGAATTCTCTACTCAGTTAATCTATAATTAAATCATGAGAAAAAAAAGATATATTTGGACATGCAAAGATTCAGAAAGTTTACCATTCAGAAATACTATTTGAAAGAAATACTCAAAGAAAGGAGGAGATGGGGGAGGAGGGGAGAAGGACGACACAGGACACAAAAAACAGAGGGAAGCAAAGAGACCAGTAAAATCGGTAGCTAAGTCCACTGCAAAATAATTGAATTTTTTGAAATGTGCACTATTTGCCGGGTCAGTGACATGGGTCTTCACTATTAGCTGGTGTTTATCAAGGGAAGTCTGCCTCCATCGGCCACACCGGCTGTGGCTCCCTCAGCAGTTGTGCCGGTCATTGCTGGTTGTGCCCCACTTCTCAGGGCTGGGGGTGGCTGCAAGGGTCTTCAGGCTGATCCTGGGTCTGGAAATAGGCTGTTAGTAGGTTTCCTTTCAGAGTTTGTGGAACAAACAGACTGACAGCTGAGGCTTCCTCAAGTGAGGCAGGTGAGTGTGCATGTGTGTGACAGACTGGGCAGCAGAGCCCCAGTCTCACTGGGTGTTGCCCCACCCCCCAGAGGTCAGGGGAGGTCGGGTGAATGTTAAGCCAACTGCTCCCTGAACTTCAAAGTCTGTTGGAGTGTCTGAAGTTTGTTCCCAGATCTAAAACTTCTCCTTCAGCTTGTGTTGGAGTCACAGAGTGTCTAAGTCCCACTGGGGGACTTGCCGGTGTTAAGTGAGGAGGGAGGGTGTTCCTCGGGAGCTTCCCCGCTCTGCTGAGCTGTCCCTTCCCACCTGTTTATTTTGCTTTCGGAGAACCCAGGTGTTTGAGGTGGGCTGCACGTTAGACAGCACTGGTTCCAGCACAGCCATGCACAGCAGCCAGTAGTGTATTTGCCACCAAGTTCCACAAACTAACTCCAGGCAGTGTTTGGTTTGTGTTTGGTTGCATGTTTGTGGGGAGAGACATGTTGGAGAAGGCAGAATAATCCTCTTGCTTCTCACCTGGCAACAAGGTGTCTGAGAGTCATTCAGCATCCAAGAATGACCAGCTTACCTTTGCCTGACTCAGAGACAGTCCTCAGCAGGGTGTTTCTCTGCGGACACAGGTCCCTGTTATCAGTCTGGACAAATCTGTCTGAGATGATGCCTCCATGCTGGGCAACTCCTTTCAGGTGGCCCTGCTGTGTTCTCAGATGTCATGTCAGCTGGGACAGATGCGTGTGAGTTCAGGTGTTACAGAGGGTTACATTTTTATCTGTTTCAAACACACATTTTTCAACACACATAATTCAAAGGCTTCAAACATTTAAATCATTCCTGTTAATGCAAACTTCAAGCAGTAAGGTCAGCTCCAGAGTACATCAAACTCATTATGACTGGATATTCAAACCATTCTGGAAGCACCCACATAAAAGCAATTTGCTTACAATCTGCAAGCCTGCTAGTGGTATCCCTAAGCCAGCTTCCGGGAAACGCAGTATATCATTTCTGGTCACTAGTGTGATAACCAAGCAAGGGAGTTTCCCAGGAAGGTTCAAGGACATTAGGTGTTAAGCCTCCTGCCCCCTTCTCCTGCTGGCCTTTACCCAGATGGGAACCCACTCAGCAAACCCCAAACTTTCAGCTGGAAGCACACACAGCCAAGGGCAGCCTGAGAAAACCCCTAGAGATACTAGACCAGGGTTCACCTTCTGTTTGCCTGCCCTCCTCCTTCCCACATCCCTGGCTGCCCCACAGCCCACTCAGTGCCCTCGTGTGATCTCATCTACTTCTGTCTCAGGGATTGGGGATTGGGGGATGGGGCTTTCAGAAGGATATTTCCTGTAATGCTGATCCCATATGGACTTGCCAGGATTCAAAATTGATTTGGAAAATCCTGTATGTTAGTGCCTGTCTGGTAAAATAAACTTTGTTGTCATTGATTTTTTCCCCTACTATTTTACCCATTTAAAAATATACAATTAAGTGGCATTAAGTACCATCTTAACTATCACCTGTGTAACTATCACCACCATCCATCCATAGAACATGTTTCTTAATTTTGATGATAGGAGACAGGAACAAATCAGCAATTCTAGAATTATCAGAAACTTCTTTCCTGTGCTTCCAAGATTAATTTTGTTCTAGAAGGGGTCTGGTTGGGAAGCTCTCTTGATCATCTATACCTGTTTGAGATCCTTGAAGGTCATTTTAGATATTGGTCAATGATCTCAATATTTTAGGTAGGACTTAAGTATTTTGTCTAACCACCTGGAGGCTTTCTGATGAGTAAATTAGTATAAAAAACTTCTTTAAAAATGAAGTTAAAAATAATTTTTTTAAAGGTGTGGAAATGGACATTTTTCTGGAGGGCCAGGATATTGGTATTTGAGTGGCCTGAAGCCTGAAGGAGCTGACTGTAGTGAACAGCATTTACACACAGGAACACAAATAAAATGCTTCGAACTGGTAAGAAGTATACTTTGCCTTTTTCCAACAATTCCTACATAGTGGTTCTGAATTAAATTTAAAAATATTATATAATATACACATATGATTTTATAATATGGTCAGTAGTGTGATAACCAAGCAGGGATTTTTCCCAGGACAGTTCCCGGATATTTGGTGTTCGGCCTCCTGTTCCCTTCTCCTGCTGGCCTTTACCCAGATGGGAATCCACTCAGGAAACCCTGCAATATGTGCAATATAATTTGTAATATGTAAAAATAGTAACAAGTATGCATAAATTTTCAAAAATGTAAAATTACACATATATATGTTTTCATCCTACGTCCTTTCTCTTTTGTTGGGTATTTTTGTGGAGGGCATGTGGCAAACGTAAGCCAGGGCATTCCTCAAAGCTATCTGGTTCATTAATGTTATCCTTTCTTGTTTGAAAGTAGTTGCCTATTTGTGTGTGTGTGTGTGTGTGTGTGTGTGTTTTCATCTTTGGCCATTTTAATGGTTTGGGAAGGAGAGAACTTTCAGGCTTAGGATGCTACCTTGAAATCAAAAGTCAGATTTTTCCTTTAATGAAGTCATTAAAATCAAGATGTCACAGGCAAAAAAAAATCTCTAAATTCTCCTTTAGAACATGTTAGTGTATTGGCCATGCTCTCTTAAATGAAGATTTTTCTTAAGTTGAACATTTTCTCAGCAATAATCACAGCATACTTTTTTACAAAAATAAAAAAGTTTCAAAGCAAAAAATGAGCCAATAAAATTGATGAAAGCCACACAATTTAATGTAGACCATAATACAGCACAATGGATTGTGCTATTAAAACATAATTAATGCAAATATAAAATGAAAACCTATCTAAGATTTTATTCAACTATTAATTCATGAGGGACTCAGCAATATGATGACTTCAAAAGACAATTTGTAAGATATCCCAGGTCAAAGGGAAGTTTGAAGACTGCATGTGTATATTCTGGAAAACATTAATTTGCTTTGCTATAGTCAATAATTTTTTGCATTATCATCAGTTTTCTGCAAGGTAATGTCTCCTCCTATTGAATTGCAAGGGCCTAGTTAATAAAAGTTCATCAAAGTCCATCAGATCATCTCCAGAAGGGCTATTAGACAATAGAAAGCACACCACTGAAAAGACACCCAGTAATCTTTTGCTCATTGCCAAGTTTTAGACAATTTTTTTGATACCATCAATTAAAGAAAAAATAGACACAAATAAATTTAAATTTATTTGTTTTGCAGGGGCACATGGTAGAGGAGAGGTATAGATTGTTTTAAAAATGTCTTAAATGAATGCAATTTTTTAAAAACAATTACATGATCCCAAAGTTCATGGAGAGCTGAATTTAACAAAAAATTTGTCTAAATAACATGCACTAGATTGCAGTACACACACTACCCATCAACTACTCCCTAACGCAAGCTCTTATCTTTGCTGAAGAAAAAATAATTAGCAAAAAGCCTGATGCACAAGAGTCTAGGAAGTTTATTTTTAACTACTTCTTTTTAAGGCTGCACAAGTTTAGCCCTTATATGGGTGTGCTATGGGTGGTTAGATTTAGAGCAGGCTCATGGTAGAGAAAGCAAGTGAGGATGTCCGTGATGTAGGGCAGGCCCTGCTCGTGGACACACATCGGGAGCTCAAAGCCTTCAAGCTGGACCTTATTTCTTTTCCCCTGCAGCCTCTCCCTAACCCAACTGGTAACAATTCCCTTCAGGTCTCTATCCCAGTGACTCCCACCACCATCAACCTAAGTTGTGCAAACCACAAGTTTAGGTGACATCTGTAATGCTCTCTCCTTCTCAACATTCCACTGGTCATAAAATCCAATGGATTCCACCCAGTGCCACTCATTTGCACCTCTCCACTCATTGCCAACGCCCTGCTCCTGGACGCGTTCTTTCTTGTCTGGATTCCTGCAGCAACTCCAGGCTGGTCTCCCTGCGTCCCCAGCCCAGTCCCAATCCCACAGGGCAGACACTGGGAGCCTTTCCTGATGAGATCACTCTCTCGTGTTACAGTTTCTCAGCAACCTTCTTTACTTGGTTTATGAGGTTTTATTTATCTCTGCTGTTTACTGCCTCTCTTCAACCATCTGTTCCCACTTTCTCCTCCTTTCTATTTTCTCGCTTCCATTTTATTTGCCTATGCCTTTCTCACCGCTTAGATTCTTCTCCCACCTCGTTACCCTCAAGGTCTTACTTAGTTCACTTCCTCCTTAAGCTGCCCGCGATGCCCCAGGCTGACTGTCCTCGGAGCAGCAGGAAGTCCTGCCACACTCCGGCCCACCACAGCTCTGTGGGCCCTTACGGTTCTGTCGTCGCCCCTGGGTGGCCTGGACGGCGACTCCTTGCCTACTCTCCCTTGGCGCCCAGACCACCTCACCCAGCTCTCTATCTCCTGGAGGACTCCAGCTCCTTCTGCCCCCCACACCTCTAACTCTGCCACCCCTGGGGTGCCTCCTTGAGCCCCCAACCGGCTTGGATCTCCCGTTCGTGCTACACGCTTGAAGCCCGCAGAGGTTTCCTCCTGGCGTAGTCCCGGGCTCCACGTTCAGCTGTGTCATTGTCTGCGGGCCGTCGGTCCCCTTGTGGGAACGTGCGCGGGAGGCCCGGACCCTGTCTCTGCCCTCCGTGTCCCCACGCGCGCCGGGCACCAATAGGTGCCCCGGCGGGTCATGAGCGAGCGTCTTCCCGGCGCCCAAACCAGGCCGGGAGGCAGCGCCCGCGCCCTGCCGCCTCCCCGGGACCTCGCGGCGCCCTTCGCTCCCCGGCGCGGCGCCGGAAGCTGCCGGGCCGGGCCCTCCCCGCGGGCGCCCGCCGCCTTATCTCGGCGCCTCGGGGCCGCAGGCGGAGCGGCAGCGCGCCGGGAGCGAGGCGGCGGCGGCATGGGCCGGGGGCCCCGGGGCGCGAGCCGCCCGCCTCGCCGCCTGCTCCCGCTCCTGCTGCTGCTCGGCCTGGCCCGCGGCGCCGCAGCAGCGCCGGGCGCGGACGGTGAGTGCGGGCGGAGGGGGGCGCGGAGCGGGGCCTCGGGCTGGGGCCTGGCGGGGCCTCCACGACGCCGGGCGCGCCCGGACGCCTCCCCGCCCCGGGACCGGGCCGGCGCGGAGCCCGGGCGTGGGGGCCGGGAAGGCGGGGCGCAGAGAGGCAGGAGGGGCTACCAGCCCCGGACCGCGGCGCAGACCCGACCCGAGCCGCCCTGCCGCGCGCGGGGCGCCGAGGCGCGGTGGGGGCTGGGCGCGGAAGGGCGTGGAGGGCGTTCCCGCCGCGCGGCCGCTTCCGGCTCTGTCACGGCTTTGGCACAAGTTCTTGACCCGAAGCGGTTTTCTTTCTACCTTCGAGTTTTTCCACCGTGACGAAGAGCAGGATGCGAATGTGATGAGAAAGAAGTGTAAGGAGGGTTACAGGAATAACGCATTCATTAACCCATTCATTCAACAGATGCTCCTGGAATAGCTTCCCTGTGCAGGATGTGAGGGCCTGGGTACTGGCCCTCATGGAGCTCATGTTCTGGAGGAGACAGACGAGCACATGATCCATTTCCAGGCAATTGGAATAATTTTCTTCCCCCCATGCAGAACGCAATGTAGAATGCGGTAGGAGTTGCACAGAGGATTCAGGCATGTAGAGGAGGTGGCATTTACCCAAATGCATGTACTGGAAGGCAGAGGGTCCCGAGTGCTCTGAGAGGTGTGGGTGGATAGAGGAGGGCAATATTACTTCCAGCAGCGGGAATCTGGTGGCGTCATGGATGCGGTGACCCTTGACCTGGGCCAACAAGGTTTGGCAATATTAAGATATGGGAAGATGTGCAAAAGTCATCCCAGTAGCAGAGGTCAGCAGCCAGCTCTCCACGAATGTAGAATGAAAGGATTCCAGAGGGATGGAACAATGTAACAAAAGCATGGGGGCTGCGGTTCAGTTTGACTGGTACATAGGAGATGGGTGGGAAATGGGGGTGGAAAAGCAGTTGGATTTAATCAGAAGTCAAGTGTCTTGATTGGCAGATCATGGCATTTAGACGTAGCTGTTCTAGGTAGCAGGAAGTCACTGAAAGTTATTGCAGGTTTTTGTACAAGGAGTTATATAAAAAGTGGATTTAAGGAAACCCTCCAACTTCCTTAATAAAACCACTTATCCTGAAGTAGAAGGAAACTTCCACGTTAAGGAGATATGGGTGGACTTTACAGCTAAAACACCTGTTTCCCCAAATTCTCGTCACCTTGGGACTTTTACCATCACTGGTGGGTGTTTCTCTTGATGGCTCAGTCTTCTGGAGTGGCTATTTTTATACATCAGATGCCCTGGTAGTTCCTAACTTCCCAAACTTGATCTCCCAAGGTAGTGTGCATAAAGGCTTGTCTTTTGGAGCCCCTTTTAGAATCTCTGTGTTAAAAGACTCCCTAGCCTAATAAACGGTCCAATGTGATTCCATTAAATTGCTAGGCTAAGATGGTTGAAACAAAATGACTAAGATTGTCCAGCTGCTACTACTTAAAGGTTCAGGGGTGAATTGTGGGAAATGGAAATCCGGGTTGTCTGGGTGAGCCTCCTCCGCCTATGCAGGCATCTCCCTTCATTTACAGCCTTGGAGGATGTGGTTTTATTAAGGGCTGCCTACTTACAGTGGACAAGATGGCGAGTGACTGGAGCTTGGAGCCACTGAGGAGGTTGTAATAGCTGGCCTAGAAATTCTGAGGACTGGCCCCACAGTAATGACAGCAGGAGAAGAGGGCAGAATGGAGGTGATAGGTGGAAATGGAACTGCAGCGCTTAATAACATGCTAAGGTACAAGGGGACAGAAGAGGAAAGATGCCATAGAGGCTTTGGGTCTGGGTGACTTGGATGTGTTTCTACAGGAGAAAAACATTTGGGAAGAAAGATGGCTAGTTGTTTTGGATATCCTGAATTTGAGGTGATATTAGGGCTTTCAGAGAGAGGAAGTCAGTAGGGAGTAAAGACTGTGAGCAGCAGGTGTGTGCAAATGATGTAGACTTGATGGTCACTTGAAGCCTTGAGGTTGATACGAGTAGAAGGGCCAAGGACTGATTCCCGGGGGAGACCAAGTTTAGATGGTAGATGCAAGGGAGGAGAAAGGGCAGCAGCCACGTAGGTCGGAGGAAGTCTCGGTTAGTAGAGCGTCAAGGAAATCAGGGGAGGGGAGTCCAAGGGGGCGGAGATTGAGAGAATGGCTTGGATTCGGTGACTCTGGTCACTGTGAGCCAGAGCCAGCAGAGCAAGTGAGCAGTGAGCGTAACAGCCAGATGCAGAGGGCTCTAGTGAGCGCAGAGCCTAGGCCACGGAGCAGATGCTCTTTAAAGAAGTTAGAAGGAAAGAGAAGATAGCATTGAGTTGGGCTGGCTAGGCAGGTCAGCACAAGATTGTTTTTTGGGGGTTGGGGGTGGTAGTAAAGCAGACTCAGGAACATTTTAGAATGAGGGGCATTATTTAGCAGAGAGAGAGAAATTGAAAATGCAAAAATAAATGAGATACTTAATGGAGCAAGCTGAAAAGCAAAGTTGGTCTCCAAGTGGGAAAGCTCAGTCTCTGAAAGGGGACAGAAAGAGAAGAAAGGATAAAACTGCTTTTCCCTCCCCCAACAGCTACCGACTTAGTGAGTACAGTTCATATTTCAAAACCAGCCCAGATGTCCTCCTCCTGGGGAGCTTTTTGGAGCTTGCAAAACTCCCTGTGCAGTGTCAGCAATACCATGCCTGTGCCTCTGTGCCATGTTTGTATGGGACACTACACACATACTTGTATGATACCCTGTCTGTACACACTTACACCATATTGCAGTATAATTGTTTATTAGACTAAGAGTTCCCTGTGAGTAGGACTGTGACTTGTATTAGGAATCTGGTATAGAAATAAATGAAGACCACCCAAATGAGAATAGGCAATGGCTCTTCATTCAGAGCTTGCTATATTGCAGATCCAGCCACCATCACTTATGTTTGTGAGAAGCTTAAAGGCAGGCAGGGGAGTGTAAAAGCTTTATAGGGGAACAGAGGGGAAAACTCAGGGGTGCCCTAGTTAGAGGATGTTGGCCTGGAGAAGCTGGAGCCGCCTTACTAACAGCAGGCATCCTGTGTGATTGGGTAAGGGAGTGTATTTGATTTTCTCTGATCGGTCGTAAATTTAAGGGGGGAACAGGGATTAGGGAAGCCGGCCATTATTGATTACAATCTGACCCTTTGGGACTTACTGCTACAGAGGTGGTGGTTTGACTTCCTGGACTGATGGCTGCAGGTCGTGGGGCAGAGTTCTGTCTTCATACATGGTCTGGCTTATCATTGTCATTTCTGTATTCAGTCTCTCGCTGGTAACATGTGCTGACTTACATGTAATGGGATCAAAGATGTTTCAGGAAGGAGAGAGTGCAGGAGCCAAAATCAGATGGCCTGAGCATGAAGAAAGTGTGAGATGCACAGCTGCTTGTGCAGGAGGGTGTTGGTGGTGGGTGGGGCGCCAAGCCTGAGGGGAATAGAGAGGTTAGGAGGGGGAAGAGGAGGGGTGAACCAGTCAGTCCTGTTTCTTCCCCTTTCTCTGGCATTACCCTGAGCCTGGGAGTGGCTGGGGGACGGTGCACAGGCCTGGCTGGGTGTGGAAGGCCAGAAGGCCAGGCAGGGGCCTTGAGTCGTGAATGACCCATGGTGGAAGGGGGTGCGGGGGGGTTGCTCTCTCTCTGCAGAATGCACCTCTCTTCACCAACTAACCACCACTTTGTAGGCTTGCCCTTCACTCTGTCATCCTGAATCACAGTGGCATGTTCACTATGCCGAGGGAGGAAGAGGAGGAAAGAGGAGAAATGGAGTGAGTGCGTTGTTCTGGAGTGATTTCCCATTGCTCAGACTAAAGGAGCAGGATTAGAGCCCATGACCAAGGTCGTCCCTGTGGCCTGTCTTCTGCCTCCAGGGACTAGGCGCGGGGCCACATCCTCAGCCGCCCGGTCAAATCCTGAAAGGGGCTTGGAGGCTCTGCAGCCTGAGGTAGCGAGTGGCCTCTTGGCCTTGGCTCTGCAGAGGAGACAAGGGAAGTGACCTGCACGTATTAGAAAAAAGCATGCAGCCTGCTCAAGACCTGAATCAGGTATAAGGCCACATGTCAGCAGGACGTGAACCTGAGGGGGTGGCCTGAACGAAGGGCCTCTTAACTCAAAACTCAAAAGCTTTGAAATTGGGGCACTCAGTATAGGTTGGTTCCTGGGCTGGAGGCCAGTTGTGGGGCCCCACTGCACATTGGTTTTGGCCAAACAGGAAGCGGACAGAAGAAGGCAAAAGGCCAAAGGAAGCTGGGGGCCCCATAACCCTTTTATACCAGGTTTATAGGTTCTTGGTGGAGAACATCAGTCCTGGGTTGCAGTGTGGAAGGGAAATACATGATGGTTCACGTAGCCCTGCAAGAATTATACTGCTTGAGAGAGTAGAGTGGTCTCTGTCTTGGGGGATTTAAAAGCAGAGGCTATGTTTGTGTTTTTTTGCTGCCAACAGTGTTGGGCAGGAGAGAATATGAGGTTTCTGAGGTTCCTTCCATCTCTCGAATTTGATGCAGTCTCAGAAAAGCAACATGATTTTATGTAGTGTTGTGGGAGATTTGGGAATGCTTTCTTCTTCCTGAGTTCTGGGCCCCCTTTGCCTGTTTCCTCATTGCTCGTTTCCATGTCTCTCCACAAGGCTGTAGAGATAGGGTCTCATGAAGGTTGTGCAGTAGGTTGGTTTGGTCTGACTGAGTAGCTGGGAATTAGATTAAGACTATAATTCAAGTACTCCATGTGTGCTTTAATCTACCTTCTTTCCTTCCCTGGACAGAATCTCTTTGTCATATTGCCAAGGTCCACATGCTCTCATTTCAGAAGTTCGCCTAAGTTGTTACCTGTATATGGAAATGAAGGGCCAGGGTGACTTACCCAGGTTGGCAGCATTGTTCCAGCCGGAGGTAGAAGCTGGTTTGGTGTGTGGTGGAGGGGAGGAAGGGTGGGCAGGGCTGAAAG